GCTCACTGCACATGCTCACTGCACATGCTCACTGCACATGCTCACTGGACATGCGTTTTCCACTGAGGTCCATGACTAGCACTCCTTGCATCAAACGTAGCAAGAAGTTCCCCAGCACTGTTGCTCTTCCGGAGGGGTCAGGAGGAGGAAGTGGATGGGAAAGAAAACAGCATGTCCAAGTTTGGCCTGAGAGCTCTGGAAGTCTAACGGTGTGAACATTGTGTGATAATGAAAGGACTGCCAGGTGGACTGAAGAAGGTACAGGTGAGTTACTGAAAGCTTTGAGACAGGTTTGGACAGCTTTGAGAATTCGGACCTTTCCTAAGGAATGTTTTTCTCAAACCCTGGCTGATTGGTTATTTGTAGCATAGCCTTAATATACACACGCTAGCACCTGAAGATCTTTAGAAACAGCTATTTCCTTAAGCAAACAGTTCCAGAACCTCAAGGTACCCATGAACTATGATTTTATCTCACACATTCTTGATGCACTTGAAAGCATCTATGGGATACTTACAGAGCGAGGACCTATAAGGTTGTAGCAAAGATGAAGTAACATGTAGAAAATGCCTGAAAGAGTGCTTGCATGTATAAGTTCCTGGTAAGTGTTAAGGCTTCTGATGTAATTATTAAAAACAGTAACAGAAGGGAAGATTGAAATAGTGGGGCTCAGAGGAGGCTGGCTTTGGGGGAGGAGTGTGTGAGCTGAGCCCTGGAAAGGCAAGTGGAGTAACCCCATCAAGAATAGCAGCAGACATGATTAAAAAAAAAAAAAGACTATAACCATGGGCCAGTGAGAGTGCAGTAGATTAAAGTGAGGCCATGAAAAGGCCAGATCATCCAAAATGTCACAGCTTTTTGTTCTTCATCGTGAGAACATGAACATGCATGCACGGAGAGATTTTAACCAGAGGAGTGACTTGCCCAAAATTTTCATGCTATACCGTCTCTCTTGATGTTTGGGTCCTCAAACACCATGCAGTCAAATAGGAAGACCAGCTGTTACAGATTTCCGTGAGAGATGCCTGGACTATGCTGGTGACATTGGAGATTTAGAAGATGAGATAGATTCTCGACATAATCAAGAGAAAAATCAATAGGAATTAAAAGTAACAGATTAACCAGGAGCTAAAAGGGAAAGAAGTCTTCTGAGAATCTGAAGCATCTGTATGAGGAGCCAGGGAGAAGGCCAGGTAAAAGGTACTGTTCACATCAGGAAATGCAGTAACTGAATGAGGAAAGGTGATACGTTGTTGCGGACACCCTGAACTGTAGGAACATGCTTCATAGGCATGTGGGAATGCAGTGTGTGGTAGCAGAGAGATTTTGAGTACAGACTATCAATTACAAGTCGACTTCAAAGATACGGATGTGGTGATACCTGGCTCGCAGCTACAAACTTTACTGAGACCTTGGCTACCTTTGGACTTCCACTGTAGTTCACGGGGACAGTACTTCTCATCCTTTGTGTTCTAGACACAGCATCAAGCCACAGATGCTCAAGGTGGACAAAGTGTTTAAAGTAACCTCACTTAAACCTCTCTTCTTCATTTAGGGAAATGAAAGTCCACGTACATCGTATCCTCTTCCCTAGGAACGCTGGCTGACTGCTTATTCTTTAGGCTTCTCCTATGGAGTTCCCACGCGGAGTCCTCTTACAACCCAACACTGCTTGCAGGCACCGCTTTCTCTAGTACCTTCAGCCTCTGTCTTCTTACCTTAGGGCAGGAAGGCAACTTGTCCAGGTGGTCAGTGAAGACTCCCTAGAGAGCTGGGTAATTTTACTAACCCAGTGGCAGCTGGCACATTGCCTCTTCAAATATTACTTATTGTACTTGATGCCCAGTGTCAGGCAAAATTCAGCAGACGAGTGTACCTTCAGCCCACTGAGCTCTTCTCTTTACTGGTTCTCACTGGGAACCCTCGTCCAGAATCATCGCTGGAGGTGTTTAAAGGGGAGAGGAGCAGAGTTTGCAACACTCCCCATTAGGTTTCAGGTTTTTCTTTAAACGCTAACTTCCTATCATGCTTCCCTAACCATTGATCTAACCATCAAGTGTTAGATCAATTCTCTACCTGTGTCTATAGAAGACATCTTTACTCATTTCTTCTCAAATCACCCAGGATTCAATTTTAGCCTTGATAGTAATAGGAAATATACCTTGAGGTTATCGTGATCATAAAACTGCAGTAGAATGTGGATATGTTGGCTAATATCTGCAAGCACATTTGAGACTAAAATGAGCATAAGTGATAGTTGGAAAGAATACAAGAATACAAGGATGCTTAATATGATTCTTTCTGTACAGTGATTTCACTCTGTCTTCTTCTGTAAATGACGTTCACAGATACATATACTAACAAACAGTGATTTCACCTGCTTACGCCCCCTGTGGCAGTGTTGGAAAGCAGTGTTCCCTTCATTCTCCGTTCCTCTCAGTGGTCACTTCAAAAGATAGTGATTGTATAGTTACTACACTCTTCTCCTTTCTGGCCATGTATGATCATCCTACATTGTTGACATAGCATTATGGACTGTGAGGTTCAATCACAAATGTTATGCAGCATGTGTCACATGAGTCATCACCACTCTCCATCTCTTCACAGAGTGGTGTTTTCAATACATAATCATTTTCTACAGATCACAAAGGAAACCATTATATTCAATTTGTTGCCAAGCATATGCGCTCCAATGCAAGGAATCAAACCTGCCACATACATCTAAGCAAGTTCTCCGCCACTGAGCTACTGCATCAGCCCTACCCTGCTTCCTTCTTTCCTTCCTTCTTTCCTTCCTTCCTTCCTTCCTTCCTTCCTTCCTTCCTTCCTTCCTTC